CCCTTGTAGTTTTGTGTTGTAATTGCATCCGATGCACTTCAAGGGGTATTTTCTGTGCCATCTGGAACACCTGCTGTTAAGAAGAAGGCAGGAGGCACTATGTAATGTTAGTTTTCAATATTATGAATAATACTTTGAGTTTGGATGCACCTGGCAAAGTAAGTATGTCAGTCCGCAGGTAGAGAACATGGTGAGCAATGAACCAGATGGTATTTATTCAACTAGTGAGCCAGAAAAATTGCCACAGATCAAGTGCCTTCTAAATGAAAAATAAAGTTGTATTGGAAGATATTAGGTGCAGATTCAAAGCTGCCATAAATTCAAAATTTCTATTAGAAATGACTTTCAGGTACCGTTCAAGGTTAATGTTAAAGGCCAATTAATCAAGCACCAAAAATTTAGCAAAAATGCCAGAAAAGGCAGGAGTTTTTCTTTTCACATCTAGCAGGAGGTGATCAAATAAAATAGAGCTAATTTGGTTTAAAATGTAATTAATCTGTATAACAATAAACTAATATGTATAACATAAATCTTACTATTCTGTTCTGTAGATCAGTGCTAAAGACAAGCACGTTATAGAATGGCTTCATGGGGTGGTTACATTAAACATTTACTTAAAGGAACACTATAGCATTTTGAATACAAATATGTAATCATAATGCTATATTGTAGTCATTATTTAAGTGACCCCTGGCCCCCTCCCCCTGCAATGGTTTAAAAAGATATTTTACTTAAAATAAGAAACCTGGTGCAATCAAACTAAGCCATCTCCATCCGTGGAGAGCTCGCCACAGCCAGATCTCTGATAGCAGGTAAAGCCCTTGAATCAGCATTCCCACGCTGTCAGCTATCGCAGATAGTGGGGAAAGCTAGTTTTTTCCACTTTCCTGCATTTGTTTTTCCCACTTTTGTTTTCAAACAATTGCGTTCAGAATTCTTGTTTTTAATTTAGAGAATTAGAAAAAAGAAGACATCTGATGGTAAGTATATATCTTTTTTTTTCAACAGGTATTAGTTTAATAGGCCAGTCCTCACCATTATTAGGGTGTGGTGAGTAGGTAGAGTGATTTATTTTTATTTGGGGGGCAAGGTGATTGGGGACCTCTCGCCTCCTAGAGGAGAGGGGGGTATGCTATTATTTGGGGGTAAGAAATGTTCACCCCTCTATTTTATAATGAGTTATAGTCAATTGAGGACACCAGGTCGTCCCCATGAATATTAGAATAGTCTATGGTGTCCCTTTAAACATATATATATATATATATATATATATATATAGTTCATGAAAGGTGATATGTATCCATCAAGTGATCTATAAAGAGGGCATTTAGTGTTTGTAGCACCGTAATATAGATTGTGTATCATCATAATTTGGTAACAGATAAAACAGGAGATTTTTATAATATGTAAAAGCAGTATGTTTATCTACAACAACAGTTTGATTACTTAGTTAAGTTTTATATTGTCAAAAACTAAGTTGCACGCATGGGTACATTGGGCATCTCATCTATATTATAACTCCACTTGCCTAGGAGTTCAGCAGAGGTTAGAGAGGAACTGTCACTTCCTTATTCCCTCATATCAGTAAAACTATGGCAGTGTTTATGGGGTGAATGAAGGTAAAGATAAGTTTAAAAAAAAATGCACTTTCACTTTGTCGGGTACAATGTCATCCTATAATTTCTCTGGTGTGGTCATGTGTGCGCAGACATACACTTATTAATTCTATGAGCACATGCACACCAGGTATTCTCTTCGGGATGCATATGATATTGCATTAGTTACCTTATTCACATGTCATACCCAGTGTGTCTAGCATGACGTGTAAATAAAAATAAATCTAATCAGAATTTTAAAAAAACCCATGCAGTACACCTCCCCCCAATAAACACTTAAGCAAAGTGACCGTTCGTCTTTAAGTTTTTTTTAATTTATAATTTTCTTTTTTGTTTTTTTATCTGAGCTTAAATTATCTCAGCAGAATAAGTGAAAAGTTCTTCTGTCAAAATGCAGATTAATATTCATATAGTTGTTTGCAAGTAAAAGGCTGGGAGGTTTTTAACAGTATGCTATTCAAGAGCTCTGTCTGAATTACAAGCAGCACTCTAGGCTTCTAGTTAGTAGCATTAAATAATTACACACTTTGTGGTTTATTCAGTAGAACCACCTTGAGCTAAGATGAATGTCTCCATACTCATTCATACTTTCTGAAACCCCGCAGAACAATATTATAAACACAGCTTTTATAAGATAGTTATTATTTCACTTTGCCATTCTGTAGTGCTAATATATTTCAATCACTACCAATACAGTTTAAAAATAGCACTGCATGTTGACTTCTTTTTATCTGAATGTCACAGTGGAAACAGGGAGCTCCATTCTATTAATCTGAATTTTTTTTTTAAAATGTGTCCATTTAAATTACAGCCTTACTTTTCTCATCTTTGTTTAACAACATAAAAGACAAGCATGGGGAAAGGGAGGCACAATGAATTGCTAGTTAGTGGTTTCCACATCTCGTTATCTCTTATTTACTAAACATGGGACTTGTATGGCACTTAGACAAGAAAAGTGATGATGGTGTGACTTTAGGTGAATTGGAAGAGAACAGATTGGCTAATAGAAATCTGTAGGTAACCGTAATTCACCTCTTTCATATTATATGCACCCACACTTATTACATATTATTTTGTTCAGGAGGAACAGGGCTTTCATTTCATATCAAATATTTATATATGAAACATAATTTATTATGAATAAAATAAAAAAAACTGAGAAATTTAAATTTTTTAAAAAAAATTGTAGTTCCGCCTCACATTTTAGCTGTAAATGTCATAATACTATTAGCTTTTACTGCAAACAAAATGCAAATATTTGGATTCAACAAAGTCTCATGAGTACAACAGTACCCCCCATTAAAAGTTTTTTTATGGTGTTTTGGAAAGTTAAAGGGTCAAATATAGCACATTCCATTTTTCAGTTTTTTCACATTGAAATTTGCCAGATTATTAATGTTACCTTTGAGACCATGTGGTAGCCCAGGAATGAGATTTACTCTCATGATGGAATACCATTTGCAAAAGTAGACTACCCGAGGTATTGCAAGTGGGGTATGTCCAGTCTTTTGTAGTAGCCACTTAGTCACAAACACTGGCCAAAGTTAGCGTTCATATTTGTTTTTGTGTGAAAAAAGCAAAAAACTAATATTTGCCCAGTGTTTGTAAATAAGTGGCTACTAAAAATGACTGGACATGCCCCGTTTGCAATACCTTGGGTTGTCTACTTTTGCAAATGGTATGTTATCATGGTGGTAATTCTCATTCCTGGGCTACCATACGGTCTCAAAAGGCAACATAACCAATCTGGCAAATTTTAATGTGAAAAAAATGAAATGCAAGCCTTATATTTGACTCTCTAACTTTCCAAAACACCATAAAACCTGTACATGGGAGGTACTGTTATACTCAGGAGACACTGCTGAACACAAATATTAGTGTTACAAAATGGTAACTTGTATTACAACAATAATATCGTCAGTAAAAGTGCCGTTCATGTGTGAAAAATGCAAAAAAACTTCACTTTTACTAAAAATATCATTGTTGTAATACAAGTTATCATTTTGAAACACTAATATTTTTGTTCAGCAAAGTCTCCGGAGTAAAACATTACCCCCCATGTACAGGTTTTATGGTTTCTTGGAATTCAAATTCTCTGTACTTTTTACCTGGGTTGTCAGGCATGCCAATCAAATTTTAACTAATTAAATCACATAATTATGTTAAAATATTACTTAAATATACACGTAGAATTTTAATATATATACATATATATGTATTTAAAATCTACATGTACAATTATGTAGTTATTTATGTAATTATATATTTATCTGTATGTGTGCGTGTGTGTATGTGTATATATATATATATATATATATATATATATATATATATATTTGCGGTTATTTGTATTTTATATATAGATAGATATAGCATGTCATTCTAAGTGTATTGTGTTACATATATATATATATATATATATTTATATTTATATATATATACACAAAATACTGAATGAAATTACATATGTATATATAATTTATTTAAATGTTTTCATAAATATTTTATATATTTTATTATTTCATTTATTATTGTAATTATACGTGTATATATAAATATAAAATATATATATATATATATATATATAGATGTATTATATATAATATATATATATATATATATATATATATATATATATATATATATAATTCATTCAAGTGTATTTAATAATACTAATATATGTACTTTTAATAGTAAAAATACATTATGTATGACGCTACATATATATTATATCTATCTATATATATATATATATATATATATATATATATATATATGCATTTAATTTATTTTAACATGTGTATTTTTTTTTATTTTAAGTGGCCTTCATTTTGCAGGGATAGATGGTTTGGGTCTAAGGAAGAGAGATTAGACAGTTACTTTAAAGGAATTTACAACTGGGAGTGGCAAGTGGAGGGAGGAGGAATGGAGCAGGCCAGCCATTTGTTATAAACAATTAAATATTTGCTAACCAAAATTCTATCAGCCAGATTATTAATGGCTACATGTAACAGTAAGAAAAAAAAATTACAGTAGTAAACTATATGTAACAATGGTAGCATCATTATAGTAAAATAATAATCTATAACAATCTTTTGCTGATGATACTAAGATATGTAACAGGGTTGATGTTCCAGGAGGGATAAGCCAAATGGCAAATGATTTAGGTAAACTAGAAAAATGGTCAGAATTGTGGCAACTGACATTTAATGTGGATAAGTGCAAGATAATGCATCTTGGACGTAAAAACCCAAGGGCAGAGTACAGAATATTTGATAGAGTCCTAACCTCAACATATGAGGAAAGGGATTTAGGGGTGATTATTTCTGATGACTTAAAGGTAGGCAGACAATGTAATAGAGCAGCAGGAAATGCTAGCAGAATGCTTGGTTGTATAGGGAGAGGTATTAGCAGTAGAAAGAGGAAAGTGCTCATGCCATTGTACAGAACACTGGTGAGACCTCACTTGGAGTATTGTACGCAGTACTGGAGACCGTATCTTCAGAAGGATATTGATACTTTAGAGAGAGTTCAGAGAAGGGCTACTAAACTGGTTCATGGATTGCAGGATAAAACTTACCAGGAAAGGTTAAAGGATCTTAACATGTATAGCTTGGAGGAAAGACGAGACAGGGGGGATTTGATAGAAACATTTAAATACATAAAGGGAATCAACACAGTAAAGGAGGAGACTATATTTAAAAGAAGAAAAGCTACCACAACAAGAGGACATAGTCTTAAATTAGAGGGGCAAAGGTTTAAAAATAATATCAGGAAGTATTACTTTACTGAGAGGGTAGTGGATGCATGGAATAGCCTTCCAGCTGAAGTGGTAGAGGTTAACACAGTAAAGGAGTTTAAGCATGGGTGGGATCGGCATAAGACTATCCTAACTATAAGATAAGGCTAGGGACTAATGAAAGTATTTAGAAAATTGAGCAGACTAGATGGGCCGAATAGTTCTTATCTGCCGTCACATTCTATGTTTCTATGTTTCTATGAATATCTTCTGCATCTGTTTGTACCTTTTGAAGCTGCAGTGTTCAAAATTAAATGGCCTTCATTGTGCAGGTATGGATGGTTTGGGTCTTTTACAGCTGCAGTGTTCAAAATTAAATTATTAAATTATTATGATTTTATTTGCCTGAGGAAGTCTAAGCACTTAAAATGCGTAGGGTCATATAAGTGATTTTATTCAACTTATATTCACTTTTTGTTTTTTTTATTTAATTTTTTATTATTGTTACTGTTATTTTTATTTATTTTATTTAATTCCTTTTTGTTGCAATAAATCTGCAAAGACTTGAATTTCTTTGTCCTGCATTTGCTCTTTCTCCATCCCTTATCTTAAAGTTCTTAAAATACTTGGGTGTGTGTTTTAGTCAGCTACTGAGGAGGACCAGCAATTATACAGTGCGTTTTACCCTAGCTATGACTGTGAAAGATTGAAAATAAAACAAAATTGTAAATGGTTGGATATATTTTTTGACAGATTGTCTGTCTGTCTGTCTGTCTGTCTGTCTGTCTGTCTATCTATCTATCAGTATCTATCATATATCCAAAATAAAAAAAACTAAAAAAAAAAAACAGTGGAACACATATGTGACAATCTAATGTTAAATATACTGATATAAATAAAAAATAAAAATAAAACATACTTAACTTATCCAGATTATGAAACAAATTCTGTTATCCAATTACGGACCCTTTAAAGACATTATAAAATAACAAAATAGTGCAAAACCTTTTGTTATATAATTAATAGTTTATTGGCACACATTTCCAAGAGCTAATAAACGAAGCTCTGGTAATGGAACTTTATGATCCATCAGATGACCGCTCTTTTTTTAAAACCTGCTGTCCAGTAATGATTCTTTCCAATTGGTGAAAAACTCTCAACGGAAAAACAGATATGCGATAGTGTAATCTTGTATAGAGCTATTAACCACACATATACATGCAGTATTTGTACTCACAAAATTGGAACCTAAGGAATGGCTCAATATATGGTTTTCGTATGGTTAACCACCTTCTTTGGTGCAACAGGAAACTGATGGCAGATCTCAAATAAGTATACTTTATTATTAATTAAAATAATTAAACTAAATTAAATAATGAAAGATGGCAAAAGGTCTTTCAGAAAAAATAGTGCTCCAGGAAGTTGTTTTGCCACGCTGGCTTTCACAGTTTGGACCAGGATTGTTTCATAGCAGTAACTTTAGCAAATCATAAAGCACCTAAACGGTGGTCGTATCAAGATGTGTGTCCAAAATAAATTTACAGTTGCCTCGAGAATCATAAGGTATATAATGCTTTTTACTTTCAAATAAAAATAATAAAATGTATGCTTTCTCCCTGATCACCACCCTACACACAACACCCCTTAAACACACACAGCACCACCCCACACACAGCACCCCAAACACAACCCGCCTCACACTCAGCACCCTTCACACACAAACAGCCCACACACACACACTGTACCACTCACACACAGCACACCCACACACAGCACCCTTCACACACACACACATAGCTCCCCCCACACACTGCACCCCCCCCACACAGCACTCCTCACACACACACACATCTTCCTTACACACAGCACCCCTCACACACACGCTGCACCCCTCACTGCTTTCTGTGTGTATTCAGCTGTCTGTGTGTGCATATTCAGCGGCCTGTGTGTGTGTATTCAGCAGTCTGTGTGTATATTCAAAGGTATTTGTGTGTGTGTGTGTGTGTGTGTGTGTGTGTACTTAGCCATCTCTGTGTGTGTACAGAAATTTTTTAAAACAATTAGACTTATTTCCCTAGATCGGAGGCTGATTGAAGAGTCTAAGTAAGTTTTATTGCCATCAGTAACATACAATTCTACAAAGCTACCTACACCAAGGGCCCCAAAGCTTTTTTTTGTGCACTGAAAGTAGTTAAAAAAAATTGGAATTGAGGAAATGAAATTTATTTTTACTTGGGATACTTTAGTACCCCAGGGTCTTAATATTGATTTTTAATTATGTCATTTTTTTTATCATGAGATGGTTTTTATTTTATTATATAGTAATATTCTTATATTTTACTTATAAACATTTTAATTCATAGTTTTCTTCTTCTCATCCCCCCTCAATTTTTTATAAAAATGCTGCACTGTAAGATGTGGGGATTTATACTAATTATACACATAAAACTTGTGAAGTATTTTACAGAATGAACACTCAGCACTTTACACTGTTTTTTGAAATTTGTGTTGGATTAATATGTAATTTTGATGAAAATATTGAATTATACTTTTGTAAATAAATCTAAGTATATATATTTCCATTTATTTTATTGTTCTTATTTCTATTTGGAAATGAATGCCATGAGCCTAAAGGACTTATTATAGTAATTAAGATTATACACGGTGGTGGAACACATAGATGCATTCCACAAGATGGAGGAGGCTCCTGCCGAATCACGTGACCGTTGGATAACACAAATGCCCTATCACAATCACTTCCGAGTTCGCGGAGGTCAGTACTCATGCTTCAGCCAAACCATGTGACCGGAACGTGCATTCCACCGGGCGGAGCGCGCGTTCCATTGCGGCCACTTCCGGATTCACAGACATAAGTGATATTTCTAATTAAGAAGGTATAAAACGCTGAAAGGGCGCCGGATGGATCACAGACCAACTGAGGAAGCCAATAATTTGGTGAAACGCGTTTTGGATTTTTTTGTGGACTTACATGAGGCCCAATCATTTTATGAACATTCATTATTATTATTTTATTATTTTATAATAGTAGTATTGTTATACTTTTATTTCTCAATAAATTTGGATCCTTCTACTACTGGGGCCTTCCTGTCTGTTCCTGTATATGAATCTGAAGGAGGAAGAAACCAGAAGGATACACAAGTGGGTGGTGGATCTCCCTTAAAAAGATCCCAGAGTGCTACACACTAGAGCCAGGTGACCAGTTGGCTCTACTCTTGTGAGTTGTGAATTACCATATATTTTTGCCTATATTTTAATAGTACATACTATCTGCACTATGTATATACCATATATTATTTACAGATTGCTAGACTGCTAGACCCGCTTCAGTCTGGTTTCCGAGCTAAGCACTCTGTGGAAACGGCACTGACCAAAGTATCCAATGATCTACTAGCTGCAAAATCTCGTGGTCACTACTCTATCCTAATTCTCCTTCAATGTCATGATATAATGTATTAAGAAACACCTTAGTAGGGGACTTTGCCGTGTCTATTTGGGACATAGTGCGGGGCATGTCTGTGGTAGGGCCTGTTACCCGCCACTCCGGTGACGCGGGCAGGTGTCGTGTGCTAGTCTGGGGGTAGAGATCATTCAAGTGTAGGATAGATTCAGAGAAAGTAGGAGAGTTCAAATATATTATACATAAATAATAACAAAAAAAAATCTGGTCTTATACATTTCCAGATCAGATTGGGGTGGGTGCCCCCTTTGCCCTTGGGGGTGGGTGCCCCCGCCCCGCTTGGCGAAAATGCCCCTGCTTGGCGAAAATGATCTTCCTGCTGGGCGAAAATGATCTTTGGGGGCATGATGGAAGCTTGTTCAACATCAGTATACATTTTTTTTTTTCGTTTTTATGTGATTAACAGCAACTGAATTGAACATTAAATCTGTGTGACTGTGCCTGTCTAGGTCTCGCTCTGTCTAGTGTGCAGCTTCTGGTGTGCAGCGTGTTCGGGGAGGCTGGGGGGGACTTATACTGTGAGGAGTCACATAGCCAGTAGTGGCCATGGGTGTCTAATGGGATGGGCTCCTGGCTCCTCCATGACCTGCACTCTTCAAGGGCTTAACGGTTTCCAGTTCCTATATAGGGTTACATCCCTGTGTTGGCTTACGCAGGGTGCTACTGTGCCTTGAAGAGGTTAATGCTTGCCCCCTTTGCCATTAGTAATAAATTTGCTAATGGGTTTGTGTTACGTGTTGCCTAGGAGTGTTGCCCTTTTTTATTTTATTATTTATTTTATTTTTATTTTTTTTTATAGAATTTTTTGTCTTTTTCTTAGGTGCCCTGTGGTGTATCGAAAAAGATCTGTGTCCCCATATCGTCTCATAAGTAGAAATGGTGATCCCCCTCCATACAGTCCCATCACATTAGCCCCCCTAGTTTGACTTAGCTGCCGTAGACTAAGGTATCACAATGGTGTCACAGTCCCTCTTGGGCTTTAGTGTCTGTGATCTAGTGGCCGTGATCTCCTCTGTCAGGCTCTAGCGGCTGTGATCTCCTCTGTCAGTTCGGCTGATTTGCGCTTGTTCTCCCGCTTCGTATCACTCTCTCGGAAGTGCCTGGAGGCCTGGTCTAGTTGTTCCCAGTAAGGTAAAATCCGCAGGTCGTGTAATAGAAAGGTTGTGGAGGAAGTTCAGCGGGTCCTTCCCTGGTAAGTAGGTATAGATTCTTCCCACCTTAAAGGCCACTATCTTGAATGGGTGTCTCCAGGTAAACCAGATCCTATGGTGGCGCAGTACATCTGCCATCGGTTTCCAGTCGCGCCTGCGTTGTAAAGTGCCTGGAGAGAGATCCTGGTACAGAGCTATCGTGGTGCCTAGATATTTGAGCTCATGATCTCTTTTGCATCGCAAGATGGCTTCCTTGGTGGTATAAAAATGGAAGCGTAGGACAATGTCCCGAGGCACTTCACCCTCATTTCTCCATGCTCGTAGGGCTCTATGCTCTCGGTCTATCACCATTCTATCTCTTGGAATGTCAGGCAGTAGT